ATAAAATAAACCATAAACCTTATCTAATCCTCGTATTAGATAGGGGAACTTGTCGGCAAATAAGACAATTTCGCAAACAATCAGAGGTATGATGCTTCAACTTGAAAAGACCTTAATGGGCCAAGTGGCTAAGTTGCGGGATGATTTTATGGGGAAGCTCCAAGAAGTGCGAAGTACCTATAAAAAAGAGATGAGCGACATACATGTTAGCTTAGAGGAAATGCGTGGGGACATTTCGTTGTGCAAGAAGGCACTCTCATCATCCACAAGCCATCCCACTTTCGAAGCCAGGAGGATCGAAGTTCCAAAACCTATGAGTTTTGGAGGTACTCGCAACGCAAAGGAAGTAGACAACTTCATATGGGGACTAGAGCAATACTTTGGAGCGATGGGGATTGTCGATGAAGATGCAAAAATTCAATTTACTTCTCTTTATCTCTCAGACATCGCTATGCTTTGGTGGAGAAGAAGAAAAGAAGATGTAGAGAAAGGTTTGTGCACCATGTCCACTTTCAATGACTTCAAGAGGGAGCTAAAGAGACAGTTTTATCCCGAGAATGCCGAAGACGAGGCTCGAGCCCGGCTGCGAAGGCTTAAGCAAGAAGATTTGATTCAAGACTACATCAAAGAGTTTACAAGCCTAGTTCTTGAAATCCCAGATATATCAAATAAGGATGCTCTCTTCAACTTCATGGACGGGCTTCAACATTGGGCAAAGACCGAGCTTAGGAGGCGAGGAGTGCAAGATCTTGTCATTGCCATCGCGGTTGCCGAAAATTTGGTCGATTATTCAAAGGAGCCTAGAAAACCTGAAAACAAGAAGAGTTGCAACATCAAAGATGGGGATGACAAAGGCAAAAACAAGGAAGAGAAACGTCGTGAATCAACTCTAACAAAGGCATGGGGTAAGGGGAAGACCAACAACAAGCCATATTAAAACCGCTGCTTTCTTTGTGAAGGACCTCATTGGGCAAGAGATTGCCCTCAAAAGAAGGCCCTCAACTTTCTGCTTGCAAGTCATAAAGAAGAAAGTGACAGGGAAAATGACGTGGAGGCACATGTGGGATCTCTTCAATAGCTGAATGCAATGCAAGCTCCAGCAAAACCCCAAGGGAAGGGGTTACTCTTTGTAGAGATGACAATAGGAGGGAAGACTACCAGGGCAATGGTAGAAACGGGGGCTTTCCACAACTTCATCTCCAGCGAGGAAGCAAAGAGATTGGGGTTGCAGATGACTAAAGGAGGGGGCTTTATCAAAGTCATCAACTCAGCAGAGATGTCGATCGACGGATTGGCTAAAGGAGTCAAGACCAGCATTGGAGCATGGTTAGGTAATCTTGATTTCTCTGTCATTCCTTTGGATGATTACAAAGTTGTCCTGGGAATGAACTTCTTAGAGCAAGCAAGAGCATTCCCAATGCCATTTGCCAATAGCCTATGCATCACAGAAGGGAGTCTAGCTTGCTCAATACCAATAATAAGGTTAAGCAAGCAAGGATCCAAAACGTTATCGGCAATCCAGTTCAGGGATGACATTTCACAGGACAAAGGGGACAACTTGGCTATCCTTCATAACAATGAAGAAGAAAAGTCCCAAAGAGTTGGGATGCCAAGGAACGTGATGGAGTCAGAGTCAAGAGATAAGCCGCCAGCCAGGAAGATGTGTTGCACCAAGGAGAAGCCAAAGATTGCCAAGTGTGGGGGCAAATCGAAGAGGCAGTTTCGAAGGTGCAAGGGAAGCCGCAATGAGGGCACTGCGGGTTTAAGTGGGGGAGAGTGTCACGCTCTGCCATATTCAAGAAGTCGTCAAGACGAACACGAGATGGAAGATTCTAGAGAAGGTCAGGATATAAGCAGTCATCAAAGGGGCTCTAGAAGATTTCGCTACATTCAGGAAAGAGCAAGAAGGAAAAGCTCTAAAGAGAATCTAAGAATAACCTAGAATGTTCTAGAGTTATGTATGTACATAAGAATAGTCTAAGAGATAGAATATTATATTGTAATCTAGAAACTTCTCTTGGACTTGGAATAGTCCCACATTGGCTAGATGAAAGGCCAAAGACATGGAGGAGGCTATAAATAGGAGCTCCTCCCCTCATTTGTATTTACCCAAGCATTGAATCAAAACATTCTAGTATTCAAGTGCTAATTATTACTTTCTCTCTATTATTCTTCTTAAGAGTGCTTGAGGCTCATAAATCCAGTGTTGTGAGGGGTAAGGCTGATTTAGTGCTAAGAAAGAGCGCTAAAGCCGCACGGCGCTAAAGCCGGCACGGGTGACTTGAGGAAAGTTATTCCGTGACAGTGCTGACATTATTTCAAATACATTATACTTTGCATTGTATTTTGAGTACTTTAGAATTTCAAATACTTGCAATCAAATAGGCCATTGGTGAGATGTGCACCACTGCAATCCTCTCAAGCTCACAATGAATTTATCTATATGACCAATAACATAGAGAAGTATAGTTCATTTTATCTCACAATTTACAAATTTCATAAAAAAGTAAATAATGCAAATACAGGATAAAGTATTGTGATGGAAATGGTCTTAAATGAAAACTGACACCCTCAAAGCATTTCTAAAATTTTTTGCAACTTTGGTAAACTTGTCAAATGAATAGTCAAGGATCATATCAATAACTCAAAGGGCGGGAATATATAAATTAATAAGTACCATACAAGATAAAACTATATGTTAAACTAGACAGCATGTAGGAATATCAAAGTGACACATCAATACCTCAATTTTAGCCCAGTGCTCATAAGCAGAATATTTATCCCACAAACGTGATTGTGCTAGATCTCTATAAAGGAAGAATTCTTCGGTTATCTCCTTCCTCTGACGAGCATCCATTGTGGGCAAATACATTATTATACCCACCTACAAGAAAATGAAATATAATTAGCAATTAAATGACTGTGAAGTGAGATTGCATAATAAACTATTATAGTATACAATAAATTTAATTTCATGATAAAAAAATAATAATAAAAAGTCAAAGAGCATAAAAATCTTAAATTCTCAACCACCACTAACGCCATCATTCAGGTTAAAGTAGTTTCCATCAAAGCCAGAAATTGCTTTAAAACAGAATATACATTTTAAAATAGAAGCTACAATAGCTCGGTTATAAATAATAATAGCAAAAGAACTGATATGGATGCTAAACAAGTGGTTCATGTAAAAAAAGGCCCAATAATTCCAAATAACCCTTGCATAGTTTACTCAAGGTTTATCAAGTAATTTAACAATTTGCTACATCATGAATGTTCAGTAATAATCAACCAGCAGTCCACTAAACAGAAGTTAATTGGATGTAATATCTTGATTTTGTAGGTTATCAAAATGTTAATGTCATTAAGTTATTTAATTTTGAAATACTTTCAAATAAGCACTCAAACTAATTTTTTGAATTGTATTTCTATTAATATATCCAGTTTTACAAACACCAGCACCAGAAATGTCACTATTGTGATAATATTTTGGGTTCCAAAGAGGACGATTTATGGAAACCAAACCAAACCAAGTGTTAGCTTATTTGTATGTTATACTCGTTTAGCCCACATGGATGTTGGGTGTCTATGTTTAATCTATAATACAGTTATTGAGACCAAAAAACATATGCTATTATTTGGAAGATAGAATCATCTATCCACCAAAAAATTGAAAGCACTCAAGTGGTCAACTTAATTGTTTAATCTAATCGTGTTCATAAATTCATGTGATGCAAAGCCCCTTGATATAACTTTCTTGATTATGTATGGGTTTGGACCTAAAAAAGAATGTTGGTGTAATATTGATAGGACATTTTAAAGTGTAATCATACCACATAATGGTGTCAGATGCCAATAATAGTTTTGAGAATATGCCTTTCAGTCATAATGGGTGGAAGTTAATTGGGAGGTATGAATAAATACGAAGTTCTATGTGGGCCCAAATACCCGTTATTGGGCATTGTATTGAATGATTGATTAATACTAACTGATCCCTTAAAAAAGTGTTAAAATGGTCCCAGGTTTAATGGGGGCTAAAATTGTTTTCCCGGACGTTTATATCAACCCATACCTTGGGACTAATTTAACATTTTTATAGACTCTGAGACTAAAATGAATCCATGTAAATAGCCAGGAGACTATTTTAACACTTTATCAATTGAATCCTTAGAATTTAGAATATAGTTACAGAAAAATACCAGTGTCGCTATTATAGGTGTAGCTTTTTGCTCACGCACCTTTAATAGTAGTTGGTGGATGATCAAGTTGCCATTGTGTTAGTTGTGCGTATCCTTTGCTTGGTATATTATGTAGATTTGATTCGTGATAGATAAATTCTTATATATTACATGCATGCTAATTAGTAATAAAAATATATTACAATTAGTATGGTTATAAGTTTACTCTTCATTTCAATGACTCGAGGCAGTTAATTCCCGTTGAAATTTGAGTTGCTCATCTATTTATTATTACTGATTTTCAAAGGATATTCTTGTAGTCATGTAGAATATTGATCTAATAGTTGTGTTAGTTTTGCACAGATGTTTCAGGTATCTCGTTTCATACTTACTAAATGTTATTTACTCAAATATGGTGCAAGAAAAGCTATTTGGGGCTTAGCACACTTGTATGTAAAGTAAAATCAATTATTTATCTTCAGGAAATATACCGATATCCATTAATGGATGAGAACATCAAAGTAGGCAGCAATAACAATCTCTGTTTTGAAAGGCATTAAGGCGCCCCCTTGGCGAGGCATGAGGCAATATGCCCCAACCCACTAAGGGGAGTGTGATCTTCATAAGGCGTACGCCCCCATATGCCTTTTACAACCAGAAAGAAATTTTGCACCCCACGGGGTTGTATGCCTCCGGCGACTAAGAAATAAAAATAAAAACCTAATGTCGGATACCAACCCAAATTATCATCGCAGGGTCTCTTCCGCACTCTTCAACATGCCTCCAGCCGCCTCCTTCCTTCCCTTCCGTTCATCTTTCAATTGCATGCAGAGACCAGCACTCATAAGAGCATTAAACCATGCACTAAAGCCCCCCACTAAAGTACAAGAGAAATGCAAGAAAGCATTAGAAGTTACAAAAGTCAAAGCACAACATGAAAATATATTAAGTGACATTAGAAGTAGTCCAACAAATGTTTGTGAATGTCAACACTAATTCATCATTACTAAACTTCTCTATGAGGACACAGAATTAGAGAACCAATAGATTATTTCACCATAACACAAGCCAAGAATTATACTCTAAATTCCAAGTGGAAGATAAATGAAAAAAAAGATGCATATTGGGCAATTGGTAGATTCTGCTACTCAACTGGAGATGTTTAATGTTATCGACGACTCATATTGTATGTCTATGTTTGAAGCAGTTACTAATTTTGAATCTGATTTTACTACACTACAATGCTTGAATTAAGAATTTGGATACCAAATGATACAATTGCTATAATCAATAAGCTGTTAGAGGAATATAAGAAGACATGGAAGAAATATGGGCGCTTGATTATGTCAAAAAATTGAACAAATGAAAAATGACATTAATTAATTTTTTTATTAACAGTCTGATAGGAACTTTTTTTCTTAGATCTGTAGATGCTTCTAGGCTATAAAGAGTGATGAGTACTTATTCACTTATTTGGATGACGTGATTGAAAAAGTATGGAAGAAAAATATGGTACAAATTATAATAGAAAATGTGATATCGAGAGTTAACCCAAACCACAATGAGAAAGCAAATATTATTACTAAAAAGCTTATAAGGGGTTACAACCACACACGAAAACGAGAAATAACAAAACACAACACACTATTAGGGTGAATCTCGGGTGATGGTGATGGTCGTTATGAGGGGCTTAAAAAGGTGGCGGTTGAGATTATGGGTAGTTGAATAACAAGGGAGTCAGGGACAGCGCTTCCAACAACAGCAGTTTGTTGTTCTGGGGCAACAATAGTGAGGGGGGATCGGAATAGAGGTGGCAGAAATAATGTGGAAGAGTGGGGAGGTTGCCAGCTGCAAGTTAGAAGGGTTGAAAGACTAGTAGGTGGCTAGAACGTGTGGCGGGTAGGTATGAGGGCAACAACAAAGGTGTTGTCCTAGGAAGTGGTTGCAATAATTATAGTGACGGCGGCAGCAAAGCGAAGATTGCGAAGGATAGAGAAAGTTGAGGATAAATATCACCTTGGAAGGGAGATACAGTTGGAGCACCACTCAACCCTTGTAGGAGAATCAAAGCCTCGAAACCAGATACAGTTGGAGCACCACTCGCCCTTGAATACAGCCCTAGACAATAAAATAATGGACACTGACAGTTGTCCTGATAGAAACAAAATAAAAAACTGAAGCATAAAGATGACAAAAACATATAAATAGCATCAGGGTAATTAGTTGTGGATCCCCTGTCACAAGGAAGTGGTAAATCCACGTAATGAAGTCAGTCGGCCCTCAATTCACAGTTCTAAACAGATCACGGGTCATTAGGAAGCTTTCGCGACTGGTTCAGTTCACGAGAAGGCATCCATGTGCGTGGGCGCTCCCATATCAATTTCCTAGGGATGGGGGAGCTTCGACTTCATTCGGCGAAGCTTCTGTCTTCTCGTAGTATCGTGTAAGGTCGATCAAGTTGGAAATAGTAAAAATGTAACAATCTCCTGATAAGTCAATTAAGTAGGTATTGTCATTCCAAAGTGTATCCAGATATAATAAATATATATATCCTCCTTTGGAACTAGAAATGCACCTGGATGGGTGATCCCGAGAAAATAGTTGTGTAAAAATTATATAGTTGACTCCGCTATGCAACGGTGTCAAAAGCTTGATACAATATTTTATGAATAAAAAATTTAAGCAATTAATGTTGAGATTCTACGCAAGTATACGTATCGTTATCAAGTAATAAAAAAGTTTCTATTTAAGCCCCAAATATCGATCCCACGGAAAAGGTTTAAATTTGAAATAATAAATTTACTAGAAAATTCACAGAAAATCAATACGAAATTACTATCACTAATTTTGAATGTTGAGATATTATCAGAACTAAATTATTTAACTAATAAAAAAACTGAAATACAAAGTTTAAACAGTAACTACTAAACTATTAAACTATTAAACTATGTTTATATAATGAAGATTTCTTATGTGAAAAAACATCTTTCCCACTACAATAAGGTTTTGTTAAATTAAGATGAAATAAATGGTTCAATTATGTATTGTGTCAAATAAGAGCAATTTTAATTATCCACACTGATACAGTGTTATAGAAAATCATTGGTTAATCTGAGGTTTAGTCCCTATATCCGTGGCTAGGCTAGGAGGATACTGGCTTCCACTTCCCTTCACCTGAAGGCTAACTCTCGCTTTAGTTTTTAAACACTAAGACCGAATTGAGGATTTTAGTCTGTCACCCTAAAGGTTATCTAATTCTACGCCTAACAAAGTATATTTCCCTATTTATTTGCACCTTATTTATTTGCATTTAATTCCTTGCATTTAATTCCATGAACAAAGTTCTCCTTCATTGAATCAAATGTGATTCTCACTCTATTGTAGAACTCATACTCTATTTTCCGGATTATATATTTCACAACATATTTTAACAATTAAATTGGCAAGATCAAAAGTAAATTAAGTTCGAAGTTGCAAAATCATCACAATTTATTATATATTTTAATTTTGACACATCAATATTATCTCTTCATTTCATCATATCTCATAATAGGGAGAAAGATAAAGTAAACTACTCAGACTTCATGAGAAAGATACAATAAAATATAAATTTTATATATAAAAAAAAGTTCATACAACACTAATAAACAAACAACACTTATCTGAAACTCTTTCTCAAAACAAATCCCTTGTAGCATCTTCTAGGAAA